ACACAGCGAGAGAGGGAACACAAGCAGGGGGGGGGAAGAGGGAGAAGCAGGCTTCCCGTCGAGCAGGGAGCCCGATGCGGGGCTCGATCCCAGGACCCTGGGATCATGACCTGAGCCGAAGGCGGACGCCCAACGACTGAGCCACCCAGGCGCCCCTAAATAAAATCTTTAAAAAAAAAAAAGAGAAACCAGAATCCCAAGCACCTGGTACTTGACAAATGCTCTTTGCTGACGTCACCTGAACTGCTCCTCACCACATCCCTGGCAAGAGGCACTGTTATTACTTCCATTTTACAGATGAGGAAACTGAGGCCCACAGAGGTTGAGTGACTCGCCCAACCATTCAAACGCAAAGCTCAGGTTCTTAAGCCCGCAGGAGAGTCACGGCCATCAGCGGCCACCTCTGTGTCCAGCACCGGGTGTGTGACACTTTCTCAAGGATTCATCCCTTTGCCCAGCCTCATGGCAACCAGCCACAGTTTAGAGATGAGGAAACCGAGTCCAGGGAGGTAAAGACCTGCTTCATCTCTTGCTGCTGGTGAGTGGTAAACATACTCGAACCCGGCATCTCTCCCTTGATCTAGTGTTCTTGCCCAAATCCGTGTGTCCCCAGCCCTATCACCCACCACCATTTCCACTACTGTGACTTGGTCCAGGACCATTTCATAGTGACTTTTTTTTAAATGGGCTCACTCTAGCCTCATTGTAAGTGTTAATAAATAAAACACCAGTTTCAAGCTCTGGTTGAATTGTGCCCATTACACATTAAAGTAAAAGAATCAGGGGCGCCTGGGTGGCTCAGTTGGTTAAGCATCTGCCTTCAGCTCAGGTCATGATCCCAGGGTCCTGGGATCGAGTCCCACCATCAGACTCCCTGCTCAGTGGAGAACCTGCTTCCCCCTTTCCTTCAGGCTCATGCTCTCTCTTGCTATCTCTGTCTCTCTCTCTCTCCAAGAAATAAATAAAATCCTAAAAAGAAAAGAAAAGAATCGATATAAAACTAGACACTTTCACTCCCCGTATCATCAGGGTCTTTCCATATGCTGGGCAATTTTGCCCTGTGTTTGGCTCATTGTCCTGGATTCTAAACCTAACTTGGTGGCTGAAACCTCGTGACCCTGGGCCAGAAGGGTCACCTTCCTTGGGCCTCACTTGACTCACCTAGAAAATGGGGAGTCAGTTTCTCCCCTGCCGACCTCACGCAGTGGCTCCAGGGAGCCGAGAGGGGCATGAACGCTGCTGTTACTTGGAAAGGAAAAGGACCATCCAAAGCAAAGGGACTAATGCTTGCAGGGTTGCTCTGTTATCCCCAGACCAGATCAACGCTCCTGCCTCCTGCCTTTGTCTCCTACAGTCCTGGAGAAATGGGACCTTGCCGGTTCTCAAGCCCTGGGCCTCCATCCCAGACTGCATGACCTCCCCAGACCCCCATCCGGATGCCCCCCCATGCTGAAGGTTACCGTAGAGCTCTTGAATGCCCTTGACGTCATCGTGGGACAGGCGGAAGTTCTTGGTGTAGGTGTAAATGGGAGCCATCAAGGCTCCAGGGTCTTCAGAGTGCTCCAGCCCCATGGCGTGGCCAAACTCATGGGCTGCCACCAGGAACAAGCTGTACCCTGAGGGCCGCAGGAGGGGACGGGGGCAGAGAGACAGGGAGAGAGGTGAGAGAGCAGCAAGGCTCTGGCCCCAGCGATGGGGACTTTGAGGATAGCACCATGGGGAGGCTAAGAGCCGCACAGATGGGTCGTATTGATTCTCTCTTCTCCTGAGAAATCAGGGACCGAGAGACTATGCCCATTGCTTTCAAGTAGGGTCAGCCAAAGTCCCTCTGTCCCTTTCCAGGGTGGAATTCATGGGAGCTATAAAAGAGAGCCAGGAGCAGCGACAAATCCTCTACTTCAAGTCCCATTTGTTAAAAATCCTGTTTTCTGGCTCTTTGTGTTTCTCTACAAAGAGTAGGGGCAAATCCTGCACTTCAGGGTCTCCAAAGAGGTAAGAGAGTGGGTCCACCATTTCCTCCCCAGGAAGCAGTAAAAACCACTCTCCCTCGGAGTGGTTGCCCAGGCTCAGCCCAGAGGGCAAACCCCACTGCATACCCTGTTGTAGGATGAATTGCGTCTCCCCAAAAGATAAGTTGAGTTCCTAACCCCAAGCACCCGTGAATGTGACCTTATTTGGAAATAGCATTTCTGCAGATAAATTAGGTTAAAACGAGGTCATACTGGGGTAGGGTGGGCCCTTAATCCAATGTGACCTGTATCATTCTAAGAAGAGAAAATACATAGAAGGGCATGTAACAAGAGAGGCAGACACTGGAACAATGCAGGCTTCCGAAGCAATGTGGTCCTGCCAATGCCTTGACTTTTAGACTTGTAGCCTCTGAAATGCACGAGAATAAATTTCTGTTGTTTTAAGACACCCAGTTTGCGGCACTTGGTTATGACAGCCCTGGGAAACCAATAGACACCACCAGGATACCACACCAGCTCTGGAGTCTCAAGCCACTCCAGCAGAGGGAGAATCCCACTTTTAAGTAGACGCTGGGGCAGAGCAGGTAATAACAGGCTATGTCCTAGCGTGGTGTTTGGCGGGGGTTAAGAAAAACTCTTTTGGCCGGCCTCTGTAGGTTAGCATGATCCTAACTCCACCTCATTGTGAGTAAAAAAGAAGAAAGGTCACAGAAAAAGAGGCTGATCTACTTCTGGCCAGCCCTGGACCATCCTCTTACCTGGCCATCGGGGCCCTCGGGGAGCTCTGAGCCCAGTGCCACGGGGCCCTGCAGACTAGAGTGGGCATAGTGCCCCCCGGCAGCCTGCTCACTGCACTGACCATGTGGTAAGGTCATGGCCTATCTCCTGGTCACTCTCTTCCCCAGCCTGTGTGCCCTGGAGGGCAGAGAGCCGTCTCAGGTGGCCCAGTCCTCAGCACTCAGCACTGTCACATACCCCCTCATTCACAACTTGGCAAAGGGTGTTGAAGGGGCAAGGAGGGCTCTGGGGGCTCTCTCGTGATGCGTGGAGGGTGGCGTTGGAGGATGAGGCTACTTCCGTTTTCCTCCTTTCTCCTGCCCACCCAGCTCCTTAAAGGCAGCTCTCCACTGGAACGGGAATGCCTTGTAGGGGAATCATTCTCTGACAGAGGGTACCCTGTGCCCAGCACTGAATGTTTGGGGTAGTAAGAACCCCACCTGGAGGGGCGGTCAAGGTCAGGAGCTTTGGATGGGCAGGACCTCCGCCAACACAGGGTCTCTACCAACATGGGGATGTCTGGGGGGTGGTGTCTATACCGGAGGTGGGTGGGAGGGCCCAGGAATGTTTCCGGGGCAGGGGCAGGGCGGCGTCTGGTGTTTCTGCCCGACGGTCAGAGCTGTGTACCTTGGTCGGGGCAGAAGCCCCATTTGCGGTCATCGTCATAGTTGGCTGTGGTCGCGCACCACATCTTCCCATCGCTGCGGCCCGTGCTGGTACAGCTCTCATGCTTGTTGCCCAAGAAGGTGAAGGGGAAGACACAGGGGGCCCCTTCCGAGTTCCCGCCAACAGTGGACATGGCTGTGGAGCGAGGGACATGGGTCAGGGGGCAGGAAGGCATCTGAGGCCACCGCCAGGGAACGGACACGATGAGGACGTTAACGAACCACGCTCACTGAGCACTCGCTCAGCCCTGGGCCCTGGAGCAAGCACTTTATACACGTCTCTACAGCCCTGTGCAGTAGGGATGGGCAACGGGAGCTCGGAGAAATTAAGAAACTAGCCTGAGCAGCTACTGCTAGAAGCGTCAGGGCTATGATTCAAACCCACGCAGATTCCAGAGCTTTACTCAGCCTCCCATGGATGGGGCCAGAGGGACCAGAGGTAGAGGGGGCTGGGCAGAGCTAACGGTGCCCACATACTTCCTTAGACCGTGAACTTCCTCATGCTGCAGGAAGGTCTCCTGCAGAAAGCAGGTGCTCGGTAAAGAGCTGCTGGAGGAAGTAGAAGGAAGCAAGGAAGGGAGGGAGGAAGAAAGGAAGCCGGGAATCCTTACTGCAAAACAGAAACCGCAGGCTAGAGATACCGAGGAGAGCGAAGAAAGGCAGGGAAGAGAGACTTCAAGGTGAGACGGAGAGAGAGAGAGGGAAATGATTACCAGGGAAGCCGAGGGAACGTGGACCATTCAGACAGGGTCCTGAGCTGGCCGGACATTAGGCATCCCCAGTTTGGCTCAACGGGCTATTGGTGCCCATGCACCATCTGTCCCGGTGTGGGTGCCCATGCTGTCCCAGCTGCTCAGCACTCTGGCCAGCAGCCCAGTCCTGGGGAAAGGAGGTGGGGGTGGGGTGGGGCGGGTCTCTGGGAGGTTTTGTCTCACAGGGCAGGCTGCCGGCCCCGGGGAGGCAGGGGGAGGCGGTGACACCCACCGGTCTCGGGGCAGAAGCCATACTTCTTGTCGCGGTCATAGTCCTCGGTGGTGCCACACCAGCGGTAGCCATCCGTGCGGCCCTCGGTGGTGCAGCTGTCGTAGGAGGTGCCCTGGAATCGGAACGGGAACTTGCAGGGCTGTCCGTCAGCGTTGCCACCCATGGTGAACAGGGCTGGGGGGGCGGAGGAGAGGGGGGAGGGGTGCGAGTGTGAGAGGCCACCCGCCTGCCTGGCTGGGGATCGGCTGGGCACGGCGCTGGCAGCCAGGTCACACCAGTGAGGTTGTGATGTCAGGAAAATATTCAAAACCCGTCTCTGGTGGTTGGTGAATTGATGTTTCTCCGGGCTCCTGGAGAGCACTCCTGCCTCCCGGGCCAGCTCGATCCCTCCCCCTGGGACCTGAGGGACGCCTCCTTCAATCCACCCGAATGCCCTCCTCCCAACAATGAAATGGTTAACATCTGGCACACAGCACAAGGGGGTCCCCAGAGCCCGGCCCACACCCCAAGGTCACTGTCCACACTGCCTGGCCATGCCCAAGCCATGCAGACTGGGGTTGGCAGGACCACAAGGGTCTTTCCATTGGAGAGATAAGAAAACAGTTCTCAGAAGGCTGGTTCTGGAACTGCTCCTGGTCATCTCTTTCTTGCTCACAGTCTTTGCCACACATGCTCACACACACACACACACACACACACACACACACACAGAAGAAGCTTCACCTCCGTTTCAACCCCAGGGGCTTTCCTGGATGGCCCGCTGTGGTCCCTGCAGGAGAGAGAGGAGGAGAAGAGGAGGAGAACGGAAGGGAGGCGGTGTCTTCAGAAACCTTTTAACACACACTCTGAGCTCCCTCTCTCAGCTCCCCAAGACAGAGGCTATGACTGGAGAATTGGGAGAGAGTGGGGTTCAGAGTCAGGGCTTGCGTGTCTTGGGTTCTCCCCCCACTCCCCCATGCCTTCATCCACCCCAAAACTACAAAATGGTGTGTCTCTGGAATTGCCAACTAGCAAAACCACAAATGCGTAACAAGGACCATCTGTGCACAAAGGCGCCAGAGCTGACCTCATCAGCCCCCATTAACTCCACCATGACCAAAATGAGGGCCAAGGATCACAGGATCAGGGCCCCATATCCTCCTACTCCCCTCTCCCCAACCAAGAGACCTTTCCCCCACAGTGCCAGAAACAATGAGCCAAAACTGAAGCCAGATGCCTTGGTGGCCTCAGAGAAGGAAAGGCAAAGCGGTAACCTCCACGGAGGCAAGCCTCTGCCTCTGGCCTCCCAACAGCTGCATGTCTACCACCCGGGAAGCCCCCATCTCCTTTCAGATCCTGCCCCCAACAAGGATAAAGAGAAGAGGACACTGACTCAGCATCAGGAGGGGCTGAGTAACCAGGACATCTATCCCAAGACCCAAACACGTGCATGTTGTACGTACTTGCATCTGGCTAAAGACCAAGTAAATGGCTAATGGCCAATGCAGGGAAAAACCAAACTTATGAATTACAGCTGTTTCCACTTCTATGATCAAGGCATTCTGTTCTAATCACAGGGACTGACACATGGCAGGGCTAACTCTGCTTGAATCCCTGCTAGGAAAAGCAAGATACATAAAATACTTTTGTTTAAAAGTTTCTGACTTATTAATGGTCAACTCTTACTTAATATGAAGTACTGTGCGAGCTTTGGTATTAAAAGCATAAACAGGAACACGATTAACTAGCTCTTTGTTCCTTTCCTTCTGTTAAGATGGCTGGTGCTCAGTGTTCAGTTGGGTCAGAGAGATTCACAAACGTGTAAAATTACAGCCGAAAGACAGAGGCATCTATAGATCAAAGAGTCTTTACGGGATGGAGAAGAAACAAGTATTTACAAAATTAATTTTTGGATTTTCTCCCATTTCCCCCTAGTTTTCTGGGCTTTTGACCTCTAGGAACATCCAATCTAACGATGTGACCAGTATGAAGATGTACACGTTATCTTTTTATGATTTCTGGTTATGAGGTGTGTCTCATTGTAAAGGATATATTAAAAAAGGATCGAGTGTGTATGTCAGTACCCTTACCCCTTCAAAAAACTTCTTCCTCTATATGGTTTCAAAATATCTGAAAATGTTATGTCCTAAGCATTGGCAAAAACACATACAAAAATACTGAGTCAGGCCTAATGCCTTTGCCAAGACACAGAGATGCAGACCAAAGCAAAGACAAAGACCCAGAGAGGCAGATATGGATCAGCCCCCACACCCAGATGTGTGCTTGTGTAACTCACTCACACACACACACACACACTGGAAGAATCAGCATCAGAACTAGGAACAATGGCTGACATTCCCAGGGCCGTTGTCCCCAAGCCAGATTGGGTACCAGCCTCGGTGTCTGAGTCTTGCCTCCCAATCCTTGTGTGGGGCTTCCGATCCATCCCCCCACCTCTCCTCATGTCCTTGAGGCCCCCATCCTGGCCTGGGGGTAGAGAGTGGTTCTAGAGAGAACCAGCGGGCATTTTAGTAGTTCTAAGTTCATTCTAATGCACATTAGAAAAAAAATAATTCACACATCAAACTTGTGATTTCACAAATATTATTGCTAATGGCAAAACCAACCAACCAACCAACCGATTTAATGAAAATATCATGTAAATAACCGTGCGGGTGAGAAGGATGCAGCCATGACCGTGGCTCACGCGAGGATGGGCGGGGGGGATGCTGGCTGACGGCAGGGTCAGGCCTGCGGAGGAGTGGGGAGGGCGGGGGAGAGCGGGGGGCCGCCTGGGAAGGTGGAGGCTGAGGAGGAAAGCCTGGGGCCGGGCGGCTGCTCACCTTCATGGGGGCAGAAGCCGTACTTGCCGTCCTTTTCGAAGTTGTAGGTGGTGGAGCACCAGAGGAAGCCGTCGGAGCGGCCGGTATCCGTGCAGCTGGTATATTCCCGGCCGCTGAACAGAAAGGGGAATTTGCAGTACTCCCCGTCGGCGTTCCCGTACTTCACGCGGACCACTGAGGGCAACACAGGGTGGACAATCAGCCTCTCTGGGTGCTTCTTTGGAGACCAGGATTCTGACTCAGCCGGGTTATGTGACCTCCCTCCCGCTGCCGGCTCTCTGGTCCCATCAGAGCAGAGGGAGGGGCCCGAGGTGGCCAGGAAAGCCATGGTTCTTGTGGCCAAGGGACAGCGAGGCATGTCGAGGACCAGAGAGGAGACCCGGCCATGACCCGGATGTTCACTCTCTTACCTTGCCCTTCTCCCAGGGTCCATAGCTCGTCGTCGTCAAAGTGCGAGTCTCCCCCAACGCCAGGGCCAGGGGCAAAGGCATGAGCCAGGAGCCCGTCCTTGCCATCGAAAGGGTATCCGTCTCCATGCTCTGCAACACACAGAGTCTCGGCTTCCAGCTGTTCCAGCTGGACCCCGAAACCCAGCCACACCCCCATGCCTGGGCCCTTAGCTGCCCTGACATCCGTCCCCTTCCCTGTCCTGGTGCGGTTATCCAGCCCTGGGAACACAGCATCTCAGTAGAGTTCCTGACTTGATTGTTACCATCCTATGGTCTACACTCCCCCCTCAAGTCTATACGGCCCCCAGTATCTCTACCGCTGACCTTCACTGTCTAAAGACCAAGTAAATGGCTAATGGCCAACGCAGGGAAAAACCAAACTTACGAATGCCAGTGACATCATACCTACCCACAGACTAACGTGCCACCCCCGTGTCCTCACCACTCTCTCACTGTTCCTCGTCTATACTGTGGTCTGTATCACCTACCCCACATCCGCGCTGCCAATTTAGCCCTATCGCTTACCCTCAAGTCATACCATCGCCGATATCCACAACATTAACCCTCATGTCTACTTTTCCACCCAGTGCATACCACCCACCGAGTGTCAACACCTTTGCCGTGCCATTTACCCACATCACAATACCACTCACAATGTCCACACCACCCACCTTCACGTCTACACTGCCGCCAGTGTTCACAAGACCAACCCACATGGCGTCCTTGATCCTGGTTCTACTCCACTTCCTCTGGAGTCTGCACTGCTCCACTGTTTCTGACCCACTCTCACATCTAGAATTCCTCGGTGTCCGCCACCAAAAGAACTTTCTGTGATGATGGGGATAGTCTTTGTGCCGTTCAATTCAAGAGACACTAATCCCACATGGCCCCTGAGCAGCTGAAATGTCGCTAGTGTGATGGAGAAACTGAATTTTCAGTTTAATTTAATTTTAACTAATTTAAATGTGAATGGACCTATGTATCTAATGGCTACCGTGTTGGGTGGTGCAGACAGACCACCTGCTTTCGGGATTATACCGCCTCCAGGGTATGCCCACTGTCACCTTACCTGGTCCCACATCAATGTGGCTGCCCGGGGTCTTCATCTTCTACTCTCCTGTCTAAGCTCTGCTCAAGACGCCGGGCCCCTCTAATGGCCAGACCGCCCCCTTGTCTTTGCACTGGCTCCCTGCTGACCCCTCTTCTGCCTACCCCAGCGGCCAAAGTTGATCATGATGTCAGCCTCTCCATCGTGGATACGAGAAAACCGTAGCGGAGTTACATCACTCCAGACTTGGAAGGCACGAGCAAAGGCATCATCCACCGTCTCGGGGTCCAGATCAGGCGTGTAGCCAATGATCCTGCAGGGGGTAGAAATGCATGTGAAGGTGTCTGTGTGCACAAAGGAATGGGAGTATGCCTACGCACACAAGCATGCATGTACATGCCCAGGTGTGTGCAGCTGGATGACCATGTGTGAATGTGTGTGAATGTGCGTGCACGTGTGCAGTTTGCCGGTGTGTGCCTGAGCACGTAAGGAGCACACAGCTTTCTGTGTGCATGTATGAGTGTGTATGCACGGGCAGGTGTATGTGTGTGTGTGTGTGTGTGGAGCAGAGCTTACTGGGAGAAGAGCCCACCCAGGATGCCTTGAGCTTCCGTGGAGTCCTAGACTAGCCCACATCTCCATGCCCTGGCTCGAGTCTCCTTTCTCACCTCTGGCTGGTGGGCGGGGAGGCACGAATAGTGAGGGCATTAAGGGCTACGGGGCAAAGATCTCACCCTTGGAATCCAGCATGAGCCATGCAGAGGAGAGCTCTCAGCCCAGTTAACAACCAATAATAACAACCCTCTGATAGAATATAAAACTCAATTAGCAGCCAATCATCAAATCCCTCCACCCACCCCAATGAGCCCATCTAAGAACAATAGTGACTCGCATTCCTTACGCTCTCACTGTGTGCTGGACTCTGACATATATCGTGATCCATTATATATGTGACCAAGCTTAGTTCCCAATGAACCTTCGAGGAAGGTCATGTTTTAGCCCCATTCTGTAGACTGGAAAGTCAAGGCTGAACGCACTGGAACCTAACTAGCCCACTGCCCCAAGGTTAGGAAATGTGAGATTCAAGCTCCGGTCTGACTCCAGTTCCTAAGAAAACTTTGTAGGCAAACTCCTTGAGATGCCAGGCCCTCACCAGATACTCCCCGGGTCCCGGAGAAGGGAGAAGGCAGGGCCCAAGGAGACCCAGTGTCCCAAAGCCCCGGGGCCCTGCCTCCGGCTGCCCTGGCTTGGCACCTGTATGTGATCTGGTTCTTGTCCCACTTGGGCTTGCGGGGGAAGAAGTTGTAGTTGGCCACGTCGGGGTTGCCGCAGCGTGGCTTCCGCATGGTCTCGATGGTGCTCTGGTCAAGTTCCCCCGTCTGGGGCAGCCCGAAGAACTTCTGCATCTTCTTCAGGGTGTCCTTCAGCACAAACAGGTTGCAACTCTCCTTGGGGCAGCCGTAGAAGGTGTTCAGATATTGCTGGAAGAAATGGAACACCCTGAGGCCAGCAGCCATGTGAGGATGGCATCTTGCTGACCCAAGGAGTCAGGGGCCCAACGGTCCTGGGTAGCATCCCGGGTTCCCAAACCAACTCTGTCGCCCACTAGCTGAATGACATAAAAGCTGTAACGCATGGCTTGGGGCACGCATTGGGTGCTTACTATATGCCCCATACAGCAATTCTAGAATGCAGTTACTCTTACTCTCTCCCTCAGACAGAGAAAGAAATTAAAGCCCAGAGAGGTTAAGAAACTTGCCTACGATCCCACAGCTCACAAAAGGCTGAGGTGGATTTGGACCCAAGCCATCTGGCTCCAGAGCCCATTCTCGGAACTGTTAACTCTCTGCCACTCTTCTTTACCTCCGCCAACTCTTTCAATTCACCCGACTGCTGATGACAGCGGGATTGGTTTTCTCACTTTCCTTATAAAGAGATTCAAGGCTTATGTGCCTGGACTCCAGCAGCAGACAGACCTGGGTTCAAATCCCGGAGCTGTCATTTCTAAAAAGAAAACGGACCTGTCCTCTGTGCTCACTGAGGCCTAAACCAAACAGGCCTCTATGGAGTTTCAGGGACCAACCGGCTCATTTATCTGTTCAACAAATATTTTTTTGACTCCTACCGTGTGCCAAGTCCTGTGACAGTATTGGGGAGAAACTGGTGAACATGGCAAATGTTTCTAGTCTCCAGGGTTCAAATCCCAGTGCAGGGAGGTGGATGGACCACAGTCCGTGGAAAATTGGATGTGTGATTTGTGCTTTGTCGGAATGGTGAAAAGAACCCGGAGACCTTATTACAGGGGCCCTAACCCTGTTTGGGGGGTTGTTAGAGAAGGGGAATAGAGAATATAATAATAGTGACAATGAGAGTAATAACAAAGGTTATCTCTTGTTGAGTGTTTACCATGCCCCAGGTACCCTTCAAGGTGTCCAGGATTACCTCCCCCTTAACCCCGAGCCCCCACTATCATGCTGTTTGCAGAAGCAGCTGAGATTGAGAAGTGAAGTCATTTCGCCAAGGAGGCCAGTTGCTCATGACTCCCTGATGTGAAGCCAGGCAATCTAAGTCCAGAGGCATCTCCTCAAGCCTCCTCCTGCATTGCCTCTGGGCAACACCGACACTGTAGGAGGCGTGGGGACCCACGAAGCTTTGTCAGGGCTCCAAAGCTCACCCCCGACCAACAGCCACCTCATCAGGCAGGCCAGCTCCAGACCCCTGAAATGAATAGCCCCCTAAAAATGTAAGGTCTCCCCACCCGTTTACCCAGCAGGGACAGAGGTCTAGATGCAGGGAAAAGGAGTGGTGGCATCACATCCTGAGAAGGGGTTCCTAGGGTGACCACAGGGTACAAAAGTCCTGTCCTGGGCCGGTTGGGGACCAGGGTGAAGGAGAATAGGAGATTTCTGGGGTGGTTGAAGGAGTCTGCAAGCAGATGTCTTGCAGGCTGGAAAGCGCATCTGGAGGGGTCCCCGACCCCGAGGCGCTCGCAGGGTGAGAGGAAGTGCCCCTCTGATGCCCCCAGCCCCCTTGTGTAACACTGCGGTCGGTCAGGGGGGAGCTCCTCCAGCCAGCGGCGCGCGCTGGCAAAACAACCTCTGAACCACAGTCCCGCCAGGAGTGAGGGCTGGCTGGCGGCGCTCCGACCCGCGCCCCAGCGCCCGGGGCTCCGTCCGCCCCCGCCCCACGCGCCAGGGCCCCCGTGCGCCTGCCCCTCCCTGCGCCTGGCCAGCCAGTTCTCTCCTCCCGTTCTCCAACCCCTCTGGAGAAGTTCGAGGAAACTTTCCGAGGTGCAACTTCCCGAGGTGACCCTCCTGGCCAACTGGTCCACTGAGCCAGCTGAAAAAGATGCGCTCTCTGCTTCCCTCCTGCCCTCCACAACTTGCCAAAAGATCCCCTCCAGGGCCTCTCTCCAGATGTATGCCAAAGGTTCCTTGACTTTGGCCAAGCTCTGCTTTGCCCTGAGTTCCTTGCCACACGTGTGCCAAAGGACCCTCTTCCCAAAGTCTCACAGGGGTTCAAAAGATCCTCCATTTCCAAAAGAGACCCCTTTCAGGCCTTTGGCCAAAGGCCTACGAAGACGCTTGCCAAGGGCCGGTTAGCCAATCCCCCAGATGTGTCCAAAAGTTGTTTACAAAGCGGTCCCCTTGCCAGATCCCCTGGATACTAGACAATGCGGCCGTTATTTACAAAAGAGGTCCCTTCCAGCTGTTTGCCAAAGCATCCCCTGCCCTACCACCACCGGCTTCTCGCCCACCCTGCGCGTCCGAAAGTTGCCAGGTTGTTTATCAAAAGCCTTCTCCCATTACTAAGGCTGCCCTACGGTTTGCAAAAGAGATCCCTCCCTCAGCTAACCAAAGACACCCCCCCGCGCCCACCCCCACCAAGCCGTTTCCTGAAGCTCCTCCCCAGGCCGCGTGCCCACCTCGGGGGTGGCTGTTCGGGAGCTAACCAAAGACCACCCCCCCCCCGCCCCCC